ATATAGATATATAGATATATAGATATATAGATATATAGATATATAGATATATATGGATATAGATATAGATATGGGCTTCGTATGACCTCAGAAAATCTTAACAGGGCTCAAGAATCTTTGCAGAAGTTTATTCTGGCTCTTGTTTTTCAAACCAAAGGGGGAAATGAAGAAGGAAGTTGAGGGGGTGAGTTTAAACATAGCGGTAGCTCTCGACTTACGACCCCCAATTGAGCTCAGAAGCTATGCTGCTAAGGGAAGACATTTGCTAAGGGAGTTTGGCCCCGTTTTACTCCCCCCCTCTCGCCACCGTTGTTAAGTGAATTCCCTACAGATGATAAGGTTAGTAACCTGGCGGTTGAGTGGTTTTCCCCGTTGACTTCGCTTCTCAGAAGGTTGCAAAAGGGGATCACGTGACACACACCCCTGGGGACGCCACAACCGTCATAAATACGGAACCCCTTTGTCAGGATTCCAGCAATCACCCTAATTAAATCACGATTCTCGAGCCAAACTTCAAAAAACTTCTAAGGATTCATTTGAGGCGACATACTGGCCCTGCCCTAGTATTCAGCCAACTCTGGCATACTTAATTCACAGTTCCCTGTGACCCTGTTTCCCCCTCTCCCCCCTGGGGGTCTCATAAACCAGATTCTCCAATTGAGCACGTTCACAGGCTGGGTGTCATCAATCACATTCTCCAATTCAATATATTCCCCGGGCAAAAACTCTGGTAGTTTAGTTACAGCCTTTTAAAAATAAGAGTTAGAATGTATTTTCGTTTCCAAACGGCTGCACTGCTCTTCCAGATTTCCTTCCTCCCACCCGCCCCTCTTTTTTTAATGGCAAATACTAAAACAGGCCCAGGAATGTTTTATGAGTTGACACCCATCACTAGTCATAACTCGTGACAATTGTAAAGCAGGTCACCTACGTCAATAGCATGATTTTACGACCCTTTTTTTTTTTTTGCAGCAGTCGTTAAGTGAACCTCCTGGTTATTTAGCAGACCAATAATTTGCAGTGGGCCGGTTTCGCTGAAAATCAGACGTCAATGCTACTTTTCAGTCAAATCATCTCCTTGGGTGGAGGGTTGGACTAGATGACCCACAAGGTCCCTTCCAACTCTGTTAATCTGTCTGTTAAATGTCTTCCTGCAGGAGTTGATTTCCTGGTGGTCTCCTCTTTAGATCCCACTCACCCACCCACCCAATTTCTCCCTCCCTTCTTCTCTCTTTCTCAGTCAAGTGGATTGGTGTCGGGAAATCTCGCAAATCCATCATCAAACTCTTTTGAGATCTTCTGCCTCCCCACCCCGGATTGAAGCCTCTCAAGTCCATTGGGCAAGCAGCTGAGGACACCCGCTCACCCCTCTTGAATGCACTCAAGCCAGACCCCCTCCCCTTCCTCAGTTTCCCCCCGTGTAAAATTTCCTCTTGGCCCTTGATTCTGTCCGTTGGTTGTTCGGGAACAGAATTAGGACAGATCCTGCTGGCAGCTGAGCTTTACACATCTTTCCAGGACAAATTAAGGGCACACACTCCATTTTCGCACCCTGTTCCTTTTCCCACCCACCCCCCACCCCAATAAGTTGCCATCGATCACCCCTAACCCTGATCTGACCAGCAGTCATGGTTCACCGTCTCTTTCCATGTTACTAGTCCCTTTTGTCATTCCTTGGCAGTCAGCCTGACCCCATGTTGGAGGTGTTTCTCTTCCCCCCCCCCACCATCCCTTCCAGCCAGATGGGGGAGGGGGGAGTGGTTCATGGGAATTGTAGTCCCCTGGTGCAAAAATGGCAGCCTTCCATTGGTTGTCTGCTACAGTGGGAATTCCACCCAGTGTCGGCTGGCAGTGAGGAATGCTGGGAGCTGTAGTTTCAGCATCCTATCTACTGTATAGAACTTGGGCGGTAAGTAGACTTCTGGAGGAGGGGGAAAGGTCCATTGTAATTTCAAACCATCACAAAGGGGATCTGTCATAAGTCAAGGACCTCCCCTGTTCCTTGGAAACTAGTGCATCGTTGAATCGCAGACGTTTTGTGCCTTTGAAAACTTATTGACGCGTCGCCCAATTTTTTTTAGCTTTCTATATATATATATATTTTAAAAAACAGCACGCTTTCTACGTTTGAATCTAATTGTAGGGATCTCCCATCTCCAGGGATCGCTAAATTACAGAAGCACTCCCTGTAGATTCTGTGGCATTTTTTCCCCCTTGGGGACCTTAATCAGGACTAGCCTCTTTAATTGCCATTTTGGTTAACAAGAGAAGCAGCCATTTAACACAAGCAGCCGATGGGATGCTAAAGCTTTCTAGATTTCTACCTGCACCAACCTCTCTCACTACGTCCAAAACCACACGAAACTTTAGTGCTTTAGAAGGAAACCTGTTTTGTTCTCACCTCGGTTGTTAAGTTTGCTTCTGGCAATCTGCCACCCAAAGCAATAAAGAATCACGATTTATTTTTATAAATCGTTTGGAATAGTGAAAGAATCTTCTTTTTTTGCTGGTTTTCTTTCTTTTTTCTTCCCAGGTTGCCATCGTCAGCTAGTCCTCAACTTACAATCGTAATTGGGAGCAAAAATTTGCGTCATAAAGTCATTGCGGTCGTAAGTCGAGTCGGACGCGATTTTTACGATGGTTTTTATGGCGGTCGCTTAACAAATCAGGCGTTTTCTTTTCGGTCATTAAACAAACGGTTGGTTGTAAGTTGAAGACTTATCTGTTCCATGCACACCTTTGGATTGATCCTGGAGAAGGACGGCTAAATTTGGCAACTTTTAAGACTTCAACTCCCATAATTCTACAGCCAGCATAGCAAGTTGCCAAGTTTGGAGAGCTCTGATTTAGAGATCTCGTCTTTGGGGGATCTCCTTTTGAGCCAATCCTCCATTTTCCCCATCCCCATTCCGCCCGCAGTCTGTAGCTCAACACTCGCAATCCGCCAGAACTGGCTCCAGTAAATTTTATTAACTTCCCGTGCTTTTCTGACATACAGAACGGGGTGAAAAGTTGTGAGAAGAACCATCGGCTTGTCATGGAAACCTTCCGCCCTTTCCTGGGAGCGGGGGGGGGGGGGGGGGACTTTTGGGATGGGGGAAGAAGAAGAGGAGGAGGAGGAAGAGAGGGCTGGCTTCGATAACCTCGATTTGGAGCGAAACTTTTTAACCACGGCGAAGTTGGTGGGAACGAGGCTGGACGGCGAATGCCAGAACGAAACCCCTTAGGTTGGATCCCGGGGGTCTGTGGATGCAATGCTTGCTGCCCTGTCTGGTCTAATTGGGGGAGGGTACTTAGACAGCCTGATTTTCCCCCCACCCACCCCCTAAGCAAGCCACAACTTCCCATCTTCGTAGGGGGAAAATGAGGCTGTTGCTTTCATAATAATTCTCTAGTATTCAAGGATCTGCTTCCTGAGCCTAGAAGCTTTAGAGAAAATAGAATTGGCGGGTCTCTGCCAGAGAAAATAGATCTGCCATGAAGACAACCTCCCCCACCCCCTCTTCTCTACCCCACAGTGATAGCTTGGAGGCCGAGGGTCCTTCAATAACCCAACTCCATATAGATTGAATGAGTATAGCAATGGGGGGGGGAGGGTAAAAGAAAGGGACACCACCCGGTGTCAGGGATGAAGGGTAAGTGGGTGGGAGCAAAAAATAGTTCAAAGCAGGGCGCAGAAGAATTTCTTTTCCCGGAAGGGGTTTTCTGAGGTGGGCACGGGGCTAATGAGGGGGTCCTCGCAGGTGTGGGCATCGCAGTAGGTCATCAAGTCCGCAGCCGCTTTGGACACCTTGAGGAGGAGAGGAAAAAAAACAAAATTAGAGAATGGCAGTCGTCTCCTGGTTTTCAATTCAAGGGCATTTATAAAATCACAGCTACAAATCTGGGCTGTAATACTCTATATAGACACAAGGGGGCAGACCAGAGAAGAAAACCAGCTACTAGATGGGTTTTTGCTGCCACCTAGCGGCTGCTCGGGGTGTTGCAGCCTTGTTGGTTGGCACTGTTTATCCAAGGTGGCGTTTCGCTAACTAACGACTTGGAAGGTGCATGCTGGCAGGGGAATTCTGGGAGTTGAAGTCCACACACCTTGGAGTTGTCAAAGAAGTAAACGCCCAGCGTCTAACTTGCCCCCACCCCCCGGAGGTGCTTTCCTCACCTTTATCCTGCACATGCTGGCCTCAATCTTCAGCTGTTCCACCATTTTGCGAGCTTGGCCGATGCTCATGGTGCTGTTGACAGGGGTTTCGCCCTTCATGAGGAACCTGCTGAGGACATCAGAGAGGAGAAAGGCCATCCAAGACCAGTCACCGTAAGGGAAGACATTGAAGACGTGCTTCAAAATTGGCCCTAACTAGTATCCTTGCAAGCAACTTCACTAGAAGTAGAATTTGCTGAACCTTAGCACTTCGGGCTACATCGCAGTATTCCAGGCGACCACTAGAGGGCACCCATGCAATTCCAAAACTAGTACAGTAACGCATTGCACCACCTAGTGGACATCGGTAAGTTTGCACTTCACAGGATGAGTTAAACCCAAGTAGAAAGTACAACTAAGGTCTTATGAACTCGAACCAAAGGTGTTTCACCTGCCTGAACTTTCTGGAGACCAATTTCCATCATATCATCAAGACTGGATAGTTTAGTAAAAACTCTCAGCCCAGCTCTGCCTGGGGAATTTATATTTCAGGAATTCTGTTCTTTGTGGTGTTCTTGCAAGGTATCTTTTAACTATAACGATACCAGAGCTGGAAAGGACTTTGGAGGTCTTCTAGTCCAACCCCCTGCTCTACTATTCCAGGCAAATGGCTGTCCGGTCTCTTCTTAAAATCTTCCAGTTTTATATGACTTTAGAACAAAAATGGATCCTGTTTTTGGATTATAACTAGCAACATGACTAGGCCCAAATTCACACAGCAGGGGATCGAGCGTGTGGGACTGCATCTACCGTGGCACAAGTATTATTTTTCACCAGGGTTAAACGGGATAGTTCATGTCCAACCTCGACTTGCCATAATTTGAACAATTACGGATTCCTTAGACGCAGCTTATCGTATCGACTCCAACCTGACTTGATTTGCACAACATGCCATTAACTATGCAAAAGAGCGACTATTTAGGGTGTAGTTGGGTTCCTATAACACAAATCACAACCTCGGTGTGTTGTGTGAATGTAAACCCGGGCAGAATGCAGGGCAGGAGAGGCGAGAGAAGCAGAACAATAAATTAAAAATAACCCCAGCGTGACAAGAGACCATTTTCTCATTTTCTTATAAACCATAATCGTCTAAATAACCTTTAGAGCTTCATTCAAAGCCAGGACGCTTCATTCTTTTTCCTACAAAGACCGAATCTTGCGTACAATAAAGACAAATTAACTTCTCAAGAAAAACATATCCTTTTCCTTTGGTTCTGATCCGATGTAAATTCCAGATTCCCCCCCCCTCCCAAAGCAAATAGCCCCTGCCTCATTCTGAATTTTTTCTTCATCTCACCCCCACCCCATTTGTTTTCTGCCACAAGCCCTTCTCATCTTGGAGGCACCCAAGATAAATAGAAAAGGAAAAAAAATCTGTTCGAACAAAATGAAGAGACGTTACAAAACATAAATAAAAGGCACTCCCAATATAGTATGACATCCAAAGCCATTCACACCCTCTCTAGCAAGGAGATGGGGAAAATATATATATTTTTTCTGCTTCCATCTGTTGTTTCCTACCCCAATAGAGGACAAGATCTGTCTGTGTCTGCCTGTTATCTATCCCTTCTTCCCACCCTTATTTATCTTCCTTACCTTTTCCTTCCTTCCATCCATCTTTCTCTTTCCTTCTATCCATCCATCCATCGTGTCCTCCCTTCCTCTCTACCTCCTTCATCCATCTTTTCCTCCCTTCTTTTCTTCCTTCCTTCTCCCCCTCTCTGCCTTCCTGCCTTTACTTTATGCTCCATCCATCCATCCATCTTCTAGCTACCTACTTGCCTCATCTATTGCATCCTAATAGTTCCTATGAACAGGTCCCTCATATAGCTGGGCCCTTCCACCTCCCCCTCTTTCCTCTGCGGAGATTTCCCTTTATATTTACATGGAAATCATTTTCCCCCCACCCCCCAAGCCTGACGGCCCCTACCCCCACCCCAGAGACCCGAAAGGGGGGGAAACCCAGCCCAAACCAACGCACGCACCTTTGAAGAGATTTTTTCTGCCAAACGTGAAGATAGAGCGGAGTCAGACCGTTCGGGCTGGAGGCTGAGATGATTTGGGGAAAGTCACCTGGGCTGTGAGGGAGGGACGGAGTGGGGGGGGGGCACTGCAGCAGCCCCTACAGAATCCTCTCCAAGGTGGACGACCAGAAGGGGCTGTTGTTTTTTTTACCCCCCTCCCTTGACTTCCTAAGACATTTGGCACACCTTGGCTAAGAGGAAATTGAATCCAATGGATCGATAATATCTTGAGGATTCCACAAAGCAATTAATGCTGGGACCAAACCATCTGTTTAAAAGGTGGGGGGGAGGAAGGATTGATGGTACACCCCCCACCCACCCCCAACCCCTCCCAGGCAGCCATTGCTTGAAAGCCAGGACTGGAAAGTGTGAGAGGGGGCTGGCATAGCCTGGCTCTATTACGGAAGAGGTTGATAGAGGAGGGGGCACGAAAGGAGGAACAGGAGTCAAAAGAGAGTGGCTGTGTCACTTTGTCAAAACCCACCCCCCTCCTTGTGCAAATATGAACGCCGGGGGAGCTGCAGTATTGTCTGCAATTGCTTTCATTTACAAATCTGACATCAACAGCCTTTAAAAAGAAAAAGAAAATTATCTCTCAGTTCACTGGGCACAGGGTTCCAAAACCTGGCTTGTTTTTCCTACATCACCTTGGAAAGGAAGGCTGGGTGGAATACGTGCATAATCAGCGTTAAACATAAACAAAACAGTGCATAGTCACAAGAAGGAAGGAAGGAAAGAATAGAGAGGGAAAGAAGGAAGGAAGGGGAGAGAAGGAAAGGAGAAAAAGAATGAGAAGGGAAAAGGAGGGAAGGAGAAAAAGAATGAAGGAAGGGGGGAAGGAGAAAAGGAAGTGGGAGAGAAGGAGGGAAGAATGAAAAGGAACGGAGAGCGAAGGAGAAAAAAGGGAAGGAAGGAAGAGAAGGAGAAAAAAGGAAAGAAGGAAGAGAGGAGGGAAGGAGAAAGGAAGGAAGGAAAAGGGAGAGGGAAGGAAGAAAAAAGGGTATTAGCAATTGATACTAAAATAGAGCTTCACAGCCTATTTATGTATTTTGTTACGGCATTGGGCTGAGTTGGGCTGGATTTTTGTTTTATAATTCATGTTCTGCTAGCTTGTAAAATGTTTTTAAACCACCCCAAACATCCCTGAAGATAGGTTCCTGTTAACTCAAATGTTTTGGTTCACACCTTGTGCTAAGATGTGGTTTATTTAACCATAGTTTGTTTACACAACATGCTTAGTTATAAGGACACAGCCAATTGTGGCTTATTAATTTAAATGTAGGTAAATGGAACATTTAATGTAAAACTTATACCAGGTCAAAACTTCTTAAACAAGTACCTAGAGAATTGCATTCCAAATAGCTATTTCACAATTAGATACATGTTCAAAATTCCTACCAAGATTAGTCACTTGTTATTACATGTATTCAGTGGATATTTTTATTCACTGTAAGGCCATCATCTTAAATATCTTTACATGGTACATCCCCCGTGGAAATAAATTGGATTTACCAATAAATAAATTAGCTTTTAAGTTGTGCCAGAAACTTGGGGAAGTTGTAGGAAGAAATTTAATTTATAAGTCAGTAAGTTCCATAAAATATTCTGATTCAGGGCCTGAATCGTAAAGATCAAAAGCTCCACCATTTATGATGGAGACAAACTTTTCCATTTTTCTCAGATCAATTGCTGGGTATATACGTATGCTCACATTTTTATCCCACAGTTTATCACTTAATCTGCTAAAAAAAAAAGCCTTGAATTTTCACGATACACCAAATGGCAAGCAACCCTCTTGTAAACAAAGCCAGAGAATTGATTTTAACAGTGCTTAAAAGGAATTTCTTTAGGAACCTGACATATAGCGATAGAACATTCCCAAGGAATCTATGCCTAACCCGCAAATCTACGGTGGTGCGAATGCAGGCCCCAACTCGTAAGGAAGCCTAAAATATATTCAATTATGAAATATATTTAATCTGTTTCACTATTAGAAAAAGAAGAATCAGAAAGCAGGGGAGCCCTTTGGTTGAAATCCCTTTTATTTTCCTGAGTGAGCATCCTTCCCCTCCAGCATCTTATTCAGAGAAAAGGCAAAGAAAGCGGTCCTCTGCTTCGGCCCGTCTCCATGGAAACGGGAGGCAGGCAGCCACCGCCGCATCCCTCCGACCACGTGACTAGAAGATGCTCGCCGGCGGCGGCGGCGGCCGCAGCAAACAGCGTTGCAAAAAAAAAGAAAAGAAAGAAAGGCCCCTCCTCTCCTCCTCCTCCGTTCCCCCCTCCCTCCTCAGGGGCGGGGCCAAACCCGGAAGAGGTAGAACCAAACCCACATTTGATTAAAAAAAAAATAAGGGGGGGGGAAGAGACTTTAAAAGGAGAATCCTGAGGTGGAGCAACAGCAGCATCGCTGGAAGTAATTCAGGTGCTTTGAATTTTTATATATATATATTTTTCCCCTTTTGGAAACTGACTAGCTTCTTCTCTGACCCCCTTCCTCCCAGTAAGGGTTTGCAAGCTAGGCGGATGGGGACTTTTTAAAAACGTCCCCTGCCCTTTTTTCCTTCTGCATTTTCTCCCCCCCACACACCCTATTTTCCTCCCCATTCTTGCATGCTTCCATATCTCTAACCCTTTTGCAAGACTGTCCTGTTTGCCTCTCTTCAACTGAGATGGGATGGTGGTTTGTGTTTGGAAGAAGCTTCCCTTCTTCTAAAGAAGCTAAACCAAGATTGGGGGGGACTGTTATGTACTTTATCTCCCTGTTTCTAATTAAAAACTAGGTCCCCCCCCCACTTTCCTCTATCATCACAGACCCTCTAATTTTTCCCTCCCTTGTGTACAAAATTCGCAGGATTTGTATATTGTGCTAGCTTTATAAATTAATTATAAAATAATTATTTTTTAAAAAAATTAATTAAGAATGCTTAGAATTTAGCTAGAAGCTGAATTGGACGTTACTGGGAAAAGGGGCTGTAATTCTAAATTTTTAAAGGCTGCTAGTTTGATTGCCAGAGCATGGTGCAAGTGGTGGTGCAGTATGAGTAAATTTAAAAGTGTTGTTTTAAAGAACTGTGAGAGATTCTGGTTCACAGTTATCAAACAACAGCAAGGAAAACGAAACACTCCTGTAAAAATTCTGTTGTGTGTTTAGTAACTTAAAAAGAGCCGATGTATCTCTCTAGAGTTGTGTTTTGAATTGGGATTTAACTTTAAGCTCACTATTATGTTATTTATTAAATTTTTATGGCATCCATCTACCCTAAAGATGATAAAACAAGTAAAAAATAAATAAAACATAAGATTATACAGATTTAAATATTATTAGAAACTGTACTAAAACTGCAACCAAGACTCCCAACTAAAACTATTCTTACTAGTGAGTGTAACTTTGGAGCAGCAACTGAATTTAAGCTCCTTTCTGTCTCAAGTTTTGCCTTCTTTGAGGAAAGAAAAAAATTAAAATATTTTGGTTGGGTGTTAGTACAACTTTGCTCCTCGGAATTCTGAATTGGGAGCTTTGCATTGTAATAATTTAACTAACTGTATTTATAGGTTTTTATCTTCCCTCTTTTACAGAAAGCATTTTAAAAATTAAAAAAAAGGTTCAAATTAAGTGTTGGCTGTATTGAGAAGTAGGAACCAAATGTATCACTCACAGTCTTTTCATTGAGAAAATATGTATTTATTTACTTACATGTTTGTTTAGAAAATGTACAGTTTTTGTCTCTAGAGTTGAAATTGGGCATTTAACATTTAATAAATAAAAGAAAAACATGGCTGCCCAACTCACTCATGGTGACTCCAGGCAGCTTACAAAAAATAAAACCCCAGTGCAAACCCCAATAAACTTTTCAACATACTCAGATTGTTTTAACATTCAACAACCAGCGGCTGAGAATGTGGCGCCAACACCCTTCTTTGCAATTTCCATCTGGGTTGCCCAGACAGAATTGGTAAAGGACTGGGTCAGAGGCTCAAATTTTTTGGGAGGGAGGGGCTGTAATTTCTGATACTCCCCCTTTGCTGTCGAATCTCCTTCTCCAAGAAGGGTTAATGCTCTTTGTTCACAGATCCAAAGCAGGGAAAAGTTGAACCCAAGAAGAAGAGAATATGTGCCAAGAGTTTGCAAAATCAGGCACCCTGGATTTATTTTGTCCTTTTTTTTTTTTTTCCATTTTAGGAACCTTCCGGCCCTGGGGAGTGGAGTCTAAAGAACAGCCTAATTTCTTAAGAGGAGGGGACTCAGGGCTTGGTGCCCCCCCCTTCCCCCCCCCATCCAGCATGTTCTGAGCCCACTTTGCTTGTTTTTCTCATGAAGCCAAAACCGCTTTCCGAAAACCACCATGCACCAGCGTACCATCTTCCATCCGGTCCTTTTCGCCTGCGGGAAAACCTTTTGACTTCCAGATTAAAATCCCTTGCAATGCTTTCATTATTTTTAAATTAAATTCTCCATTGTGCAAGGGACTTCCGGTTTAACGTTGCTCTGCTTTGTTTTGTTGTTGTTTTTTCACGGCGCCAAAACACGGGAGGCTCGCTGCTTGGGGTAGGTTGAAACCCCTCCCCCACAAAAACAAACAAACGTATTGACTTGCTTTCCTTCGCCAAACGCCATCATGTCGGCCAGTCCCGGACCTTTCTTGGTGTGGGTCCAAGAAGTGGCCTCTTTGCTTATGTTGCGAGTGCGTCGCACAGTTCTGCAGACGGCTATTTTGTTCTGCGTTTTACTCCTCCTCCTCTGGATCTCCATTTTCCTCTACGGCAGCTTCTATTACTCCTACATGCCGACGGTCAGCTATGTCAGCCCTGTCCACTACCAATTCAGGTTAGTTTCTAGCAGACGTTTGTAGTCAGGATTCCAGCAATCGCCCTAATTAAATCATGATTCTCGAGCCAAACTTCAAAAAACCCGCAAAGGATCCATTAGAGGCGACATACTGGCACTGCCCTGGGTGAAGCCAAGTCTGGCCTATGTCATTTACAGTCCCCTGTGACCCTGTTCCCCCTCTCCCCCCCCCGGGGTCTCATCAACCAGATTCTCCAATTGAGCCCAATCAGGTGGACCTCAACTTAAGACGGCAATTGGGGCCAAAAATTTCCACCGCTAAGCAAGCCAGTTGCTAAAGCGAGTCACTTCTGATTTTGCCATCTTTTTTTTTTTTTTGTGGGCCAGGGTTCCTAAGTGAATCAGTGCAGTTGTTAAGTGAATCACATGGTCATTAAGTGAATTTGTCTCCCCCCCCCCCCCCCCATTTGACTCTGCTTGTTGGAAGCTGGCTGGGAAGGTCCCACCAATAGCAACTCTGCCACCATTATATAAATACACGCTAGTTTGCAAGTACCCAAATTTGGATCCCGTGACCGCAGGGATAGTCATAAGAGCGAGGACCGGTCATCGGTCGCATTCTTTTTCAGTTCCATTGTAAAATTTTGAATGGCCACTAAACGAATGGCTGTAAGTTGAGGACTACCTGTAATTCTTTGCCCCCTCCCCTCAAAAAAATTAACATGCCACAAAAAATAGCTTTGTGAACTTGAGATCTGCTAAAGTGTTGTGTGAATCTGATTTGGGAGAAATTTTTGGCCTTTTTCAGGACAGACTGTGGCCAGCCTGGACCTGAACTCTGTTCCTTTCCTGTTGCCAACATTTCGTTCATCAAGGACAGCCGAGATCAGGTGAGCGATTTTCAAAAACTGATTGATGACCGCAGTGTTTTGAAATGAAATGGATAAGGTTGCAGGGAAAAAAAGTTGTACACTGTTTTTTGTTTTTTTACAGTTTTTGATAATTCTCCCTCCCTCCTTCCTTCCTTCCTTCCTTCCTTCCTTCCTTCCTTCCTTCC